CAGCTAAAGGGCATTGTTATTGATGTCTGCAACCCCTTCAGCTGTGATTATTATTATATATGTGATGTATATTCACAATACAGTGACTTATTGCTTATGAAATAAAAACTACAATAAAATAAAAAATTATGAATCCATTTTTTTATTAAAACTTTGTTGGGAATTCTTTAAAAAATTAAAGATTATTCAAATTTAAAAAAATTAAAAAGAGAGAGGAAGAGAGAGAATTTCTTACACTAGAAAATATAGTTCCTGATATGTAGCAGAGTGTTATTTAATGAATGCTGTGCAGTCATGTAAACAATATCTTAGTTAACATATGATAACATATATATATATATATATATATATATGTGTGTGTGTGTGTGTGTGTGTGTGTGTGTGTCATAACTGTAACTAACTATATTGTGTATTTCAATGCATTTGTATTGACCAATTTGCATCAAAGACTGGAACTATCCATAAAAATGGACGATAATGTAGCGTTCACACAGAACATGGGCCTCATTTATAAAATGTTGCGCAGAAACCAGCCTAAATTCGATCTCACGATCATCTCTCAAATATGCGTACGTGTGATTCATAGAATGAACGTACACACCGAAAACGCACGTACGCCTCTCTTTCAGATGAGATCACCAGTCATCATCCGAATTCTTTCATTTAGAACAGTGAGCTGCAAGAACAGCTTACATTTTCAAAAACCTGCAGTACTCCAACAAGAAAAAGTCCATACGTCTGCTCAGACCCTGATGTGATGCTAAGCACTTTTCCACGTCAAAGGCAGTTTTTACAAATAGGAGCGTTGGCGTGGATTTAATTTTAACGTCATTTTGGACCCGTATCCGGGTCCGCAGAGTTTAACTGGTTTTAAGCGTACACATTCTAAAGATCAAATCTGTGCGTATGCACACTTTATAAATGAGGCCCCACGTTTTTGCTTTTTTCTGCAATGCTTTTTCATTGCTTTTCTGTTATTTTTGTTACCGTTTTTCTATGTCTCTCCCTTGGCCTAGTGAAACAAAAACACGTCTCGAAACACATCTCATCCCACGATTCATGGTCTTGATGCAAAAACATTTTTTGCACTCCACTGTGTTGTTTTCCATCGTTTTTCTATGTAAATATGTGCTAAATTGACATGTTTTAGTGTTGCACTTGTGTTTCGTGTCTTTTGCAGCCTTTCATGCATGACGTACCATTCTAAAAACACGGTGCTCATGTTAAAGTTCAACTTAAAAAAAAAGCATCTCTAGACCATAATTCCATTCTAGGAATTAGAATTTTTTCCAATTCCACTGCCCTGTGCCTCACAATTTACGGAAATCACGTTGTGGGTAAATCACCCCTAACATGAATAATTTCATATTAACACCTAAATTTAAATGTTGTAAATAGACTGAGATTGTGCAGTTTCCTTTTCTTGTCATGATTACACTCTAAAAAATGCTGGGTTGTTTCGACCCAACTTTGGGTCAAATATAGACTAACCCAACTTTTGGGTTAAAAATTGAATGTAAAAATTTAACCCAACGGTTGGGTTAGTCCATATTTGACCCAAAGTTGGGATGAAACAACCCAGCATTTTTTAGAGTGTAGCCTTAGTTAACATGGGATAACTTTTATCTAGAACATCTTTAAATATTCAAAAGTGTTATTACATATGTCAAAAACCGATGTCTTCAGACTGAACTGCAATGCCATTTGTCTTTGAAAAACCCTTCCCATGTGTCCTCAAAATCCAAGTTTTACGTCTCCTTTCAAATGCCCGGAACAGCAATAATTCTTTGTAGCTGGTCGTCATATGCAGTAATTAATTTCTGCTGTCAAAGCAAGCAGCACACATCACTCTAATTCAAAGACCAGACGAGATGTCATTTGCTTTTCATACTTTTCATTATTTCATAGTCTAGCATCCATAAATTATTCACTCTAAGCATTTTACATCATAGATTATTTATGCTTTGTAGCACTTTGACAAATTGTATTGTGACAGCGGTGCCAGTGGAGAATTCTTGAGAACTGGGTATGAAGGGAATGTCATTCAAATTCATTCCGAGTTCGGGGACGATTCAGCATGTGTGCTCAGTTCTGTAATAAACATTCCCCAGTCCTGGTGTTTACAACGGCTCCCTCATAGCACATAATAATCAGTTGTTTATATCAAGGTTTCAATTCACTTTCTACACAAACACAGCTGTAAGAAACGTTCACTCCGAGCGAATGTGAATTAAACTCGACAAAGGATGACAGTCCGAGTAGAAATAGCACTGCTTATGTTTATCTTTGCTTTAGGTTTTGTTTCTTTTCATTGCTGAGGAGAATTCTGGGTACATGCCACCCCATGCAAGCCAGTGTTTAAGTGGGCTCCTGGGATGCGGAGAGATTTGAGCACAAACAGTACAAACTCACTTATGAAATCTGTCTGCAATCTTACACTCATTGGCGTTCTCTTTTGTTTTATTTTGACAAGAAGTTCAAGTCACCCGGCAGAGCAGAACATCGATCCGCCAATCGAAATTGTGGGCCGTGCATGGCACGTCTCCTCCCAGGCTGTTTAAAGCGCTTAGAGGTATAGAAAACAGTAGGTGTATATATACATCATTTGAGTATCATAGACTCGCATGTGCGTTTGTTCTGCCAATACCACTCGAACACATCTACAAATGCGGTGCAGCTGTGCTTTGAAATATCACTGCCCTACTGGCGATTCTCATCTCATTTTTCTTCTCTCGGCGACAGGCCGGATCTGCAACAACAGGCCACGGCCACTAGGGAGTGGTGCAGAAATTGTCTTCAAATATTGATTCTTGAACCAAATGTGATGTTGGGTCAGACTACGTGTCAGGTTCATCCTCAGAGCACGGTAGCCTCTCGGGACGACAAGCGAAGAGGCTTCATTCCGTGTCCGCATCAGGATTTAGCGGCTTTCTGCTTCCCGGCAGAACGTCCCGACACAACAAAGCCTTTTTAGATGGATCTGTAGATAAACATATGCAGGCAGACACAAACACACCTTTGCAGGAAAAAAAAACTGAGAAAATATTCAGTCATCATTCGCGCACTTCCAGTTGACCACTTGAAACGAGAACAGGATGAGCTTTTCCCAATAGCAGCAGACCTAAAAATACACCCGGACCATCCCAGGAGAGGGCTGGCAGTATCCTGGGGTTCAGTAATGAGAATTTGAGATGGCACTCGACCCTATCTCCCAAGGCTCAACACTGGAATCACAGTGGTTCTGATACATTCATCACAGCTCACAAAGCAGACGGTTGGAGTCTGAAGGGGCTTTGAAGCCTGGAAGACGTCTGGGCAGGCCCAGGGCGAGCCTAGAGTACAGGGCTGTCTTGTAGGGAGAAAACCTCATTCGACACTTCACAAGCCACCAGAGCCCTGAGAAAGACATACAGAGATAAAGACACAATGGACAGCATCTTTCTGCAAGTTCGATCCAACCCTAGAAAAGGTAATGCTCAGCAAGAGCGAACAAAAGGGCCGATTAGAGTTCAGAATTCACGTTTAGGTTAGGTTAGAGTCTGTGGAGGAACACATTGAGATTAGAAAACCGGTGATGAATGGTGGAGCTGATTCTATTTCAAACTTTATTTCGTTGCAGTATTGGGCATGAGTTATGCCTCTTCACATTGGAGCTTATCTTTAAACACGTTCATTATCTCAGTTGGCACATTGCTAACCTGTTTTCAGAACTTCACAGAGTACTTTTGAGAGCTTCACAGTTAAACCAGAAAGCAGAATGGTAAAAACAAGATACTGTATTTCCTTGTTTAAAAGTGCACCAAGTAACTTTCTGGTTATGTTTCACTTACAGATCACTTGAATTTTATACTGGCACCTAGTGGTGTGGATGTACTGTAAAAGTTTTTTGTTTAGTTTTTTTATGCAGATGCATTTGGCACCCTCTTATTAATTTATTCTGAAACCAACAGTGTCTGGTTATAGGGGTTGCCAATGAGTTGTATTTGGCAAGTCATGTGATCAAAGCATCATGGTCCAATGTGCCATTTGTAGAATAAAACAGCTTTTATTTTTAAGCATTTTAAACATATTTATCCATATTATTCATTTATTTAGGTTTTAAATCTAGTATAAAATGTACTTAGTGCACCTTTAAGTGGTTTGTGGATCTTTTTACAGAGTAACATAGATGTTTTTAGCCAGCTGTCAGTTTTAAAAGTTTTTTGAAGGGGATTGCATCTGTAAAGCTCACATTACATAACATTTTACAGCAAGGAGGAGCTGTATTTTACTGCAGTTTACCATTGTTTTACTGATGACTACATCACTTGCATTTCTACTTTGCGCATTTGTGGAAGGAAGCTTCATAAATGTTTCTCTCTTGAATTCCATCTTACACGGACAGTAAAAGACTAGAAAACGGAAAACGTCTCCATATGATCTTATCTAGTGCAAAAAAGTCACCCATGAATTTTTTATTTATCGTTATGATCCTATTCAGCAACCCTAATTAGAAGTGCAAAATGACTTAAAGGAAACATTTGACCCAAAAGAGCAAATGATAACTTGTGAATCACACATTCAGAGCAATCCCCACCCTACACATGAATATAAAGTTTGCTGTGTGCTGGAAAGCGGATAAACAGTGTTCAACTACTGTCTCATCATCATCAACCTGACTAACACACACTTACACACAGACACACAAGCTCCAAGACAGGCCTGAACTGTCCACAGTTTGTCCTACAAGTCCCACGTCCTACAATCTGTCTCACACATGCACACGCATACACACAAGAGAGCCAGTGGAAATCCAAAAAGTCACTTTCAGCTGACAAATGCAATCTCTCACATGAGCACCTGTGTGTCCAGTATCTTCAGTCGAACCTCGGATTTATACAGAGATTCTTGTCCATCCTCATCTTCTGTCGAAGCAAGGTAGCCATCTATAGTCTACAGTGAGTTTGTCCATCTTTCACATGTATGGAATCCTCTGTAATGTCAGTGTCTTAAACAAGAGGGTCTTCTTTTCCATTAGGGGTTGGTAAGGAGTCTTGAGCCTCTTGGTACGGCAGCCATGTTCTTGCTATCGAGTGACCTATGAATGAAAAGGGAGGTAGGATTAATATATTAGAAAATCACTAGAATGGCAAGCAATGTGCATCAAGATGTTTAATCAATATTTGTCTTTTGCAGTAATATACCTTAACTTTCTAAAAAAAAATTAAAAAGGAATATATATATATATTTCTGTCATGACAACTTTCGGAGGGATTGGCATGGTAATGTA